ACAAGCAAAACATCCATATTTTCTAAATAAAGACAAACTATTCTTTCCCACAGCCTTTGCTAACAAATAGATGAATATATTCAAACATCTGTGCTTTCTACATAAAAGGTATAGTTGATAAAATTCTTTCAGTTTTGAGATCTGGGGCGTAAATCTTTTCCATCGTCATTACTTACCTACATTTATCAATAATAATTATGCATAAAATTTATATTTACGAATACTAATATCAACATAACATACATTTTTATTAAAATAGTTATTTATCTGTGATTTCACTGAAGACTCTTAGATGACTTGCAGAGACACATTATTTTCTCCTTACCCCACAAAACACAAAATCTATTTCTGCTTGAATTCTGTACTTCATCAATTTTAACGTTAGTATATTGATGTGCATAATTAACCACAGTGTTTTTGTTGTCAAGTAATTGTTAATATATGAAAAATTTAAATGTTTTGAATATTTCACTTGAGATTATTACTCTTGCCACCATCTGTATTAGAGGGAAATAAATGGTAGGGGTGGCCACAGGGGTGGCCAATGATTGCCCCTGGCCCCCCATCTAGCTCCGCCCCTGTGGAGGAAAGGTTTCAGCAGGAACAACAAACTTGAACATACAATGCTGCAATGAAATGATTCTGATCAATAACCACACTGATGGTTTCCTGCCAAAGTTCAGGATTAAATCCAGCTGAGAATCTGTGGCAGGATCTGTCCACGGAAACTTTCTACGCAGCATTACTGCAAACTGTTTTCCAAAACCTTCAGTCTGTGAATGAGCTAAAGAGGAGGTCTTCAACAGGGGGTCCTCAACCCCTAGGGAGTCCACATCGGTACAGCATGGGGGTCGCAAAAGTTTTGGTTAAAAGAGGTTTTTTTTTCTTTTTTTTTATATTCCCCCCTGTATTTTTTTTCCACTAATTGAAATGTCTTTAAATCCACATTAACATGGATTCAACACACTGTAGTAACCCAGATAAATGGAGGCAGAAGATGTCTTTCAGTCATCAATGCACACATTCAGCGACACACAGGAGCTCTTTCCAGCTGGGCACCGTTTTATTCACAACACCTGTCCCATCAACCAGGAATCAGAATCAGAAATACTTTAATAATCCCAGGGCGAAATTACTTTTGTTACATATCTCTATCTGTAATAGAGTGACTATAGGACCAGTTTGATATAACGCAATTTCATACAATATATATAATTAGTGGGTACCCGCTCCATCTCACCATCAGTTTGGCCAGGAAAACGTTAAAGACATCCACTGAAAGTCTTACCACTGTAATTGCAGCTGAAGGGGGCGCTATGTGCACCACATTAGGTTTTTATTTTTCCAAATAATACAATGATTGACTACTTTGTACATAAAATCAAGAGTAAAGAAATTGATATGAAGTAATGTAAAGAGGGACTGGGGGTGTAAATACTTTCACACAGTGCTATGTCTGTAATAAAATTAGTACCAGTTGTATGGTGGGAACACCTCTTATCATTGGAGGCTGCTCTCTTATCAACAGACAGCGGGGGGGTTAGGGGAGATAAGAGAGCAGCATTAGGCACTGCATGCATGATGCAGGTAGACAATGTGATTTTGAGAAGGTAAATAACTCATATGAGCTCTTTGAAAGTAAGGGGGAAACATTTTTAAGTGTGTCTCTCTTACAGCCGTTTGATCTTCCCATAAGTAAAATTAAAAGTTTTGATCAGCTTCATTCTTTGTTCCTGGACTTGTTTAAAAGAGGCTGCATGTCACATCCTTCACGTTGAGCACTTTAAAAAGAAAGAAAGGAAAGAACAACACTGTGGTGACCTTTGACCGAGTTCCCCAAACTGCAGGATTCTTGGAAAGCCAGAGAACTTCTGTGAAAGCTCCAGGACGGATTAAGGAACATGGCAAAGGAAGCAAAGGGGAACAATGTTTTTTTTGTCTTAAATCAACTTATTTCAGCTCCAGTTATTTGTGAAAAAGTAGCTACAACCATGTCCGTTCTGTTTCATTTTTTTGACATTTTTTTCATAAATACTCATAAAAATACGCTGTAAGGACATGTCAGAACAAGTGCTACCGTGGCTGTGTGTCGTCTTGATTAACACGAGAGCAGTACCACTGGGCACTGATGCACATACTGTTCTTAGTGAATGTTTGTGTTCAGTCTGTCACTTGAGTTTGGATGTCATTATCACTGCAGGGTTGATGTGATTATACCTCTCTCTCTCTCTTTGTGTGTCAGCATGTTTGAGTTACCAGGCACCTGGTAGTTGTATGAGCCTTGTCACCTAGACTTTAGTAGAAATACTCCCTGCTTTTCTAACTGCTCTATTATTATCTATACATACATCTGTGACACGTAGAGCAGGTATCTGCAGAGAGGTGTATTGGTTTTTGTATGTGTGTCTGCAGCTTCCAGTCGAGTTTGTGTTCTTGGTACTTCTTGGCATACAACACAACACAAAAGTACTTATTATCCAATACAATGAGTCACACTTTCTTTACAGGCTTGGCAAAGACCCGTTTGACCCGTTCATTCTTATGGAAGTCTTTTTACTTCACAATCGGTATATTTTTGGATATTGTGCTGCATATTTTTTTTAAATAGCTGAAGTGCAACATCAAAAGATGCATCTAATTTTTTTTTTTTTTTTTATTTCTAGCGTGGTTTTATATTATAAAACACAATGTCATCACAGAATGTGGTTGCCAATAAGAAAGAGCCTGGAAAATCCTATTTTAAATAGTTTCCTGTTATGCATTCTGTAATGTATAAACACAACACAGGTTTGAGCTTTGAAGCCTTGGAGCCTTTTTATCCCTCAACATTATTGAGGGAAAACAGCTTGATCTACAAAGGGACTTGAGACAGTTTTGATAGTTAATGCAACTCTTGGTGCAAAGTATAAATAAATTAATAATGGCAGCCGACAGCTTCAGCAGACCTCAGTACATGCTTTAAAATAATGAATTTAACACTTGAGTTTTA